AATTAATGAATAAGCCGGGCTCCCATGCCATGCTGAGAAATGCATTCAGTCACCCATTCAGGAAATGAAGGCTATTCCATGCCCAGGCCGAGGAACAGTGCCAGGCTCTGGGGATATACTTGGTCAGGAATCATTTACTTGTAAGGAACAGGAGCCCATTCAAAGCAGGTTAAGGTTTTTGCTTAAGAAGGACTCTTGGAATAATTACAGTGATAATTAATGGAACCCAAGGAGAAACCATGTGTCTGGGTCTCCAAGGCCTGGACCAGGAACCATGTCTCTCTGCCCCACCTTCCCCAACTCCCACTCTAGTTACCAGGTCTCCCATCTCCGCTTTTCTCTGAGACACTTCCACTTCCTTCTTTGTCATCTGTCCTTAGTGTTCAGCACACACAGCTCATTCATTTGGTCTTTCTGTGTCACTTCCAAATAACTGGGAACTCCTGGCTGCATAGTATCTATGGCTGCTCCAGGTATCGGCTCCAGGACCGTGCATCTCTAGGAGAACATGGGGGGATGCGGGGAGGGGAAGAGGTGCTTCTGCTGCAGACATTGCTCCCTCATAGGGGTTCCCAGCACTGGGTGAACACTGGAACCAACTGGGGGGCTTTGAAAAATACCAGTGCCTGAACCGTGTCCTCTCCCTGTTCCCCTTCTCCCACGTTCTGCCTTAATGTGTCTGAGAAGGGGGCTCAAGCATCCATGTTTTCTTAGATTCCCAGGTATCCCTAATGTGCAGCCCAGATTGAGACTCTCTGCTGTGGTAGGAAAGACAGTAAAAAGTCATTACAGGACTTCCTTGATGGTCCAGTGGTTAAGACTCTGAACTTCCATTGCAGGGGGCACGGGTTCCATCCCTGGTTGGGGAACGAAGATCCCGCCTGCCACACGGCATCCCAAAAGTGGGGGAAAAAAAATCATTACAAGTTGGTAATGGCTTTGATGGGGAAGGACGGGGGCAGCACATTTGACAGTCTAGAAAGAGCAGGAAAGAGATACACTAAGACCCGATGATGCGGAGTGCCCGTACCTTGCAGAAAGCATTCAGCATCGTGGGCTTTCGTGTGTGTCATTGATTACCATGAGGTGGACAGTGTCTGGGTTATAGTGGGGACTGAAAAATATGGGTTGAATTCACGAATGAGATATCATTCAGGTAGATAGTTAAAGGTGGAGAGAACTTGATTTTTCATGATTGAGGCCACTTGTGTGTAGCTGACCAAGGCAAGTGTTAGTGTCATGCCCATTGGCCAGAGGGAGATGCAGAGGTTGCCCAGAATCCCTGGCTCTGAGCAAAATAGCCAGACCCAGACCCGGCTGTTGGGACTTCCACCTCCTCCACCCTTTGTAGTGTGACCAAGCATCCCGGTTTGCTCGGGACTGTCTTGGTCTTAGCGCTGAAAGTCCTGTGCCCGCGGAAACACCTCAATCCCAGGAAAACTGGGATGGTTGGTCACCGTACCTGTCAGTGGTTTCCCAATGTTCTCCGTCCTGTGGAGGTGCCGCAGCCCTGCCAGCCGGCTGGGACAGGCAGGAGGCAAGGGGAAGGCCAAGTAGGCAGGGCTCCAAGCCTACCTCCCCAGCCCGCAGAGGCTCAGGTCTGCTTTAGCTGTCCTAGATAGAAGTTTATTACCATACAGGCACTTGGGACTTTGGAAACAAAGGCCCATCCTGAGGCAGGAGGGGATATAGATCCAGCCCACACAGGCATGGGGCAGCAGCAGTCAGTTAGTGGTCAGGTGATACAGGGCAGAGAGAGGGCATCCTGGGGACCAGGCGTGAGCTGAAGCCCAGGATCTCAGCCTGGTGAGGCCCCAGTTCTAAGTATAGTACCTCGAACCCAGGTGAGGCCACAAGTGTGCTTCTAGAACGTTTCCTCCAGCCAAGATAAGGACCCGAACATGACTCTGGTCTCGGCACAACCCCAGGTGTGATTTCTGAGTCCCTTCCTAGGAGTTTGGTAGTCACAGGTGTAGTTTCTGGATCAATCCCTCTTAACCTGCTGAGGCCTCAGGTGAAGGTCTAGACCAGCGAGTGGCTCTCCACCTTGACCACACATTAGGATCACCAAGGGGCGCACAGGCCACACCCAGACTAGTGACAGCAGAGCCCAATGTACAGTCAGGGTTGAGACCCACTGGAGATACTTAGCAGCCCAGGTGAAGCCCCAGGCTCTGCCCTGAACCTGGTACGGCTCCTGGAGTAGTTTGGGATCATTCTAGGGGTCTGATTTTGATGCTTAGAGGGTTTCGGGATCCATCTTGGGACTCCTGGTGGAGCCCCAAGTCAAGGTATCCATCTCTCACTTCAGGTCTAGGGAAGCTCTGTGGAGGCCCCAGGTGGAGTTCTGGGTCCATCCCTGCAGCCCTGGTGAGGCTCCAGGAGTAATTTCACCAAGTCTTGCTTCTTCTTTAATGAAGCCAGGGATGGTCCATTGGTGGTTTCAGCTTCTGTTTCATTTCCAGATATGTTCCAGCAACTCTAGCTGGGCCTGTCAGGATTCCACATTTGAAATGTGGGTTCCTGGAGGAGGCCCCTGGGTTTATTTCTGAATTTATCCCACATCCTTGATCACATATAGTGTGTGAGTCCTGATCAATGTCCCAGGGAGGCCTCAGATGTGGCTCTGTCTTGAGTGGAGAGTTCTAGAGTGCCCCAGGGCTGATTCCAGAACAATGCTTCTGTTCCGCAGAGGGGTCCAGCCAGCGCCCACATGAACCCATATGGTCACATCGTTTTGGCGAACATGGCTAAGCTCTTGTCCCGTGGTCATGCTGAGGCCCACGTATTGTTCTCAGTGAGTCCGCCAGACTCTGAGAAGCTTTGAGGGAGTTCTGGTTGGGCAGAATGCCCAAGGTGTGGTCCTGGTCTCATCACGGCAGCTCTAGTGGCCCCAGTTTGAGCCCGGTGTCCACTCTGCCGCTCTGCAGTGGCCCACCTCCGGCCTCGGCACATCCTTGTAACTCTGGGAAAGCCCAGGGGTGGTTCAGCTTTCAAGGGTGACCTGGGGTCTGTCAGAGCTCTGATCCAACACCAGCTGAGGTGATGGGGTTGTCTCGAGAGCTCTGAAGGCACCCAGGGTCACTGTTCGTCCCTAGACATGACGGATATTGATAGCATTTCCCCAGAACCCCCAGAAACACCGCATTCACCTGCTAGACCACCAGCCTCGTGAGATCCTCAGGCGGTTGCTGGCAGTGGAGCGCCAAGATCTGAGTGGACGGTAGGTACCCAGGGAAGGTGTGTTATTCTGGCTCCTCTTCTTTCCAGCCATGTGGGCTCAGGCAAGTGGCTTGACTTTTCTGCACCTCAGGTTCCTCTGCAGTAAACAGATAATAATACCTGTTCCACCTGGTGAATATGGAAATAAATGAGATCACGGGAAACAAGCATCTGTGTGTTCACCACCTCTCGAGAGATGGGGAAAGTGCTTAGGTGGCCACCGCAACTCCAGCCCTGTTCCCTTCCCTCGCAGGGGGAGGACAGCCAGTTATCTGCTTCCTAGGAAAGAGGGAGAGACATTGACTCTGCAAAACACACACACACACACACACACACACACACACACACACACACACACTTCTGGCTGCCACCAAGAATGACAATTAATAGACAGTCATGTCAGCGGAAGCTAAAAACAAGTTTACGTGCCTCATCCTGCTGTTCCCTGCTGCCTGGGCCCCGAGGGCCGGAGGGACAAGGGACAGCACCCACTGAAACAAGACGGCACCGTGGCCTGCGGTGCATCTTCTGAATGGGCAGGCCTCGGGGGCCCTCTCTGCACCTCACTGCCTGCCTCTCTCCTCCTAGTTTCACCAGGGCCAGACCCAGGAGGCCTCCGCAGGTGGGGCCCCCAGCACTTTGCCTGTGCACCCTCTCTCTGGCTGAGTCTGCTCCCAGCTTTCCTCTCCGCCCCGAGGCTGACACCCCCGACCCCTGTCTGCGGCCCGCAGAGACATGGCCTAGAGGCGCACAGGGTCTGCATGTCCACGCCCCACCCCTGACCCCCTGACACCTGCCTTTTATCCTGCCCATGCCTCCCCCAGTCTATGGCATCCCCACCCACCTAGTTGCTCCAGCCGGAAACCTGGCCTTTCTGCTCTCCACCACCCAGGTCCCACCCCCTGCCCAGCCTCCTTCCTGGCATCCCTAACCCCACTGCACGGCCCCTCCTACCCGCAAGCACGCCCTGCGCTCTCGATTCCATCAACTGAAATAAAACCTGGACCAACGAACGCCTCATCCTCTGGGAAGGCCCTCTGCTTTCCCTGGGCTGAAGCAGTGGCTGGCTTTCTCTGGGCCCTTTTTTCTTACCTCCATGACAGTAATGATCATTGCGCTGCGTTCATTATAGCAAACACTTGTGCTTACTAGATTTCGGGCATGGTTCTAAGAGCTTTACACGTATTCATTCACAGAACGATATTACAGATGTGTGTCTCTCGTTAGCTCCTCTGCTTCCCTGGGAGCTCGGGCAGCAGACCCCACATTTGACCAGCTCTAAGTCGGTCACCTGCACTCAACACGAGCTGGCTTCCAGTGGGCTCTGCTCGGGTCTATGTGTTCATTGCTCTAACTCCAGGACCTAGAAGAGTGTGTTGAAACATTTGTGTGGAGTGAATTAAATGCATGCTGCGCTGAATTGATGCCCAGTCCCCAAAGGGGATGTTCTCTTGGTGTGTTTTCTCTGCCTTTCTCCCAGCATACCTGATGGTTTAAAACTGGCTTTTTTGCAGTTTGTTGGCAAATAGGACTTTGTGGGGTTTGCTTCCTTCTTACAATAGCCTAAGCACAGGTTCTGTTACATGGTACAAAGCCTGCCTTAATAGAGAGTTTGAAACCGCTAAATAGAATGGCATTCCGATGATCACGAATAATGAATCCTTACCTAGCAGATGTGGCTATGAGTGCTTTGCAAAACAGCCAGATTGTTAACAGGAGACACTGCCGGTTCCGTGCCGATCACCCTGGTAATTGGAGCTGTCTTCTTCTTGGTGCAGCATTATTTCACGGTAAACTTCAGCCACGAGAACCAGAAAGCCTTGGAGCTGAGGACAGAGGACGCCAGGGATTGTGACGAGTGGGTGGCAGCCATCGCTCATGCCAGGTATGTCTCGCCCACCCAAAGGCCCCGTCCTGAGCAGACTCAAACCCCAGGAGGGGAAGGCATGGAGGAGGAGGAGATGGGGGGAGGATGGAAGCTGTAAGAAGGGCATCTTGACAGGCCCATCCTTAGAGCCCCGGAGCTCTGGGACGTGCCTCCCTGGGGTGCACAGGGAACCAAGGGCCCTGAGGAGCAGCGTTACAGCCTCCTGCCCCCTTCAACCAGATGAGCTCCTTTTTTCATACTAGGAGAACCGAGTACAGTTTGGTTGGATTACAGGGCTTTATAGCCACCAAAGGCTAAGACCACCAGGGTTCTAACCCGGATGCTGCAGGAATGGACTAGTCCTGTCTTTTCTCTGGGCCTCGGTTTTCTCATCTGTAAACTGAAATTCTGTAAACCTCTCTGAACTTGGATGTTCAGGGATTCTAGACCTGCTCGTCCCTTCATTCCCAACAATGTGTACCCCTCTCTGGAGGGATTCACTGGGCCAGGTGGGGAGAAAAGCAAAAGGAGAGTGTATGCTGCAGAGAAAATGGGGGCTCCAAGCTGCGTTGAGTCTTCCTGGGTCTTGGGGAAATGATGGGCTTGTGGGCTGGGGTGTGGCCCCCCAAGCTAACAATCCCCTGGCAGAGCTAAGTACTGTCGGGGGGATGGACACCCAGACTCACCCCTTTGAGCAGTAGATCTTTCTGGCTGAGTAGATAATGGTGTGTTCCTGTGTCTACTTTCCAGTAAAATGTAAGCTCCTCGGGGCAGGGACTAAGTATGATACTTTGCATCCCCAGGGCCTTATAAAGGTATAGACAAGTTCTCAGCAGTGTAGATGGGAAGAATGCAAGGATGAATGAATGGGTAGAGGTTGGATGTTGAGTTTATATGTGGAAGGTGAATGATGGATGAGTAGAGGGTAAATGAATGATAAATGGATGAGTGTTGAAAGTATATGTGAAGGACAGATGGATGGATGGATGATAAATCAATGATGGGTAGATGAATGTTGATGGGTAGATGATGGATCCATCAGGCGAAGATGTATAGATAGATGGATACCAGAGCCCTTCCTTGAGGCTTGGATCAAGCCAGCTGACCAGAAACCATTTATTATGGCTATAGCACTGACCTTGACCCTGAGGTCAAGCCACCTCCATCCCTATCCTCAAGGAGTGTCCAGTCTAGCTAATGGAGACTAGGTTCTCACCTATGAATCAATAGAGTCAGGCTCTGAGTGTGGTACTGGGCAGACAGGGATGGATGCAACACAGGTATTCCCCCAGGGCTACCCCAACCTAGCCTGGAAGACACTAGACAGATGTACAAATAGCTCTGGTGCATGAAGGCAGTGTTAAGTACAAGGCACCATAGGAGACATCTTCAGGGAAATGGGGGAATCTGGGGGATCTGGAAATAGGGTGACATTTGACTTGAAAGGGGAGATTGGAGCCTCATATCTAATGAGTTTAGCTGTGGGCACTTCGGCCCATCCACCAGCCCCCAAAAAGCCTTAAATAAAGGCAGTGATCTAGGAAAGATAATTCAAGAAAAATGAAGAGACAAAGTTTGGGTGTCAGAAGGTTGATGAGGTTGGACATTGGACTGGAACCAGATCAGAACGATCTTGAATACCCAGCTGAGATGTTTGAGCTTTCCTCTGTGAACAGTGGGAAGCCATTGAAGGTTTTACACCAGGGGGGTAACATGATCAGAGCTCTGATTTGGAGTGGAAATTGCTGGCATTGTGGAGAATGGAATCGAGCAGGAAGAACCCAGATTCAGGGAAAGCAGTTGGACCTCAGGCTCCCAGCACTAAACTAGAACCAATAGCAGGGTTGTTTTGAGAACCAAATGAAATTATTTATGTGACGGGGCTTTCTAAGTGTTGAGGTATTATAGAATTCTAATTTGCTGTATATTCTGGATAACCAGGACTACATTGACTTCAAAAATCAATTCATACCAAAATTTTCTAGAGACGATGAGATACCACTACCTGTAGAATCTACAAGGGCTGAGTTGAAAAAGACTGAGAGTAGCAAAATTGGAGAGGGGGTGGAGTAACCATAAATCACGTGATGCTAGTGGGAGCATAAAGTGGTTCAACCACTTTGAAAAATTGTGAGGCATTTCCTTTAAAAGTGAAACATACACCTACTCTGTGACCCAGCAGTTACACTTCTTAGTATTTATCTAAGAGAAACGAAAAACATCTACAAAAAATCGTGCATGCAAATGTCCTTAGCAGCTTTTTGCACAATAGTCCCAAAACTAGAAATAACCAAGGTGTCTATCAACAGACAGATGTAGAAAGGAACCTTAATACATCCATGCGATGGAATACCGCTCAGTAATAAAAAGGAACCCAATGGGAGGGAGGCTCAAGAGGGAGGGGATATGGGACATATGTATGCATATGGCTGATTCACTTTGGTGTACAATAGAAACTAACACAGTATTGTGAAGCAATTATACTCCAATAAAGATCTATTTAAAAAATTATATATATATATATATATATATATATATGTAACAAAACAGATGAATTTCAAAGTTGATAGGCTGCGTAAAACGAGCCAGACACAAAATAGTACATGCTGCCTGATTCCTGTTATATGAAAGTCTAAAACAGGCAGAACTCAACTGTGGTGATAGAAATCCAAACAGTAGTTGCTTGTGGGGTGGGGATTGACGGGGAAGGGGCATGAGGGAACTCCCTGGGGTGATGGGAATTTCCTTTATCTCGATTAGGGTGTATGCATTTATCTACCCGGATCAAACTGTATATTTAAGGTCTGTGCTTTCCATTATATGGGCATTAATCCTCAAATTTTTAAAATAAATTCTATCTATTAGAGTGTTTTAGTTCTCTACTGCTGCAGAACAAATGATCACAAACTTAGCAGCTTTAGGGACTTCCCTGGAGGTCCAGTGGTTAAGACTCCATGCTCCCACTGCAGGGGGCGTGGGTTCGGTCCCTGGTCGGGGAACTAAAATCCCACATGCCATGTGGTGCAGCCGAAAAAAAACCCCCACAAACTTATCAGCTTAAAACCATACCCATTGTTCAGTTTTGTAGGTCGGAAGTCTTGGCTCGGCTGTGTTCTCTGCACAGAGGCCCATGGGCTGAAATCAAGGAGTCAGTCAAGCTGGGCTCTTACCTCGAGGTTCTGGAGAAATCTCTGCTTCCAAGCTCACTCCTGTCATTGGCAAGAGTCAGTTCCTTGTAGGACTGGTGTCCCTGTTTCCCTGCTAGCCGTCATCTAGGGATGGCTCTCAGCTCCACGAGGTCCTGCCTTCCTTGCCCTGTGGTCCCCGCCATCCTTAAGCCAACAACGGCTCACCAAACCCTTCTCCAGCCCCAAATCTCTGACCTCCCCTTCTATAACCAGCCAGAGAAAACTCTCCATTTTCAAAGGCTCATGTGATTGGGTCAGGCCCACCTAAAGAATCTCCCTATGTTAAGGTCAGCTATGCCGTATAGTATAGCCTAGTAAGAGGAATAAAACGCATCATATTCATCATCCCAGAGATTATGCAGGGCTTCGAAACCAGGGCAGGAAACTTGGGGCTATCTTAGAATTCTGTCTGCCACAGAGAGAGGACAATGATTCTTTAAGCAACTCACTAAACTGGAGATTGGTTCCAAGTAGCCCATAAAATCCTAATCATATGGGGGTTTTGTGTTTTTTGGGGGTTTTTTTGCAGTACGTGGGCCTCTCACTGTTGTGGCCTCTCCCGCTGCGAAGCGCAGGCTCCGGACGCGCAGGCTCAGCGGCCATGGCCCACGGGCCCAGCCGCTCCGCGGCATGTGGAATCCTCCCGGACCGGGGCATGAAACCGTGTCCCCTGCATCGGCAGGCGGACTCTCAACCACTGCGCCACCAGGGAAACCCCTAATCATATGTTTGACATAAGTGCTTCCAAGCCTGCCTGATGGCGAATGTTCACATCTGAGGGTACCTGTGTCCACTGCACAGTCCTCTGGAGTCTGTGAAGCTCTTTCACACGGCGTATTTGCTTCTGATAACCACCCAGTGTGTGTGTCCCTTCAGGCCCGCTTGACAGATGTAGCCAGTGAGACCCAGTGGCATACAGGGGTGTGGGCTCCTGAGTAGAAGTTGGGGTGCCCCAGATCCTGGCTCCCAGTCTAGGTCTCTGTGACTCCGAAGTAAGGTAAGGTAGATGCAACTCAAACCAAAAACCTGCTCTTCCCCAAAAGAGGAGCCATTGGGCAAAGTGACACCACCTACCTTTTTTTTTTTTTTTTTTTTTTTGGCGTTCCGCGGGCCTCTCACTGCTGTGGCCTCTCCCGTTGCGGAGCACAGGCTCCGGACGCACAGGCTCAGCGGCCATGGCTCACGGGCCCAGCCGCTCCGCAGCATGTGGGATCTTCCCAGACCAGGGCATGAACCTGTGTCCCCTGCATCGGCAGGCGGACTCTCAACCACTGCGCCACCAGGGAAGCCCGACACCACCTACCTTTGAACAAAAACCTCTCGGTACTCACCATCCTTTAGGAAGCCAGGGTGACATGCCAGTTGGACATGGTTTGTCTTCCCTGGTCAAGCCCAGAGGTCTGAGTCAACCCACTGGCCTCAGAGGAATGTCCTCCTTTGGGCCTAGGGCTGGGACGGGGGTCACAGTGTTGGTCACCAATAAGGGAAACAGTCCCCTTCCCTAGAATAGTTGTCACCAGCCAGTCTAGCTCAGGTGCAGCTTGTCAGGCACCTCCTGGGCCAACCGAAGCCACAGGCTCTTCCATAGGCAGCCGGCTGTGTGACCTTTTTAAAGGACAGACTATAGGCTCTGAGCATTATTTAACCTCAGATCGTGTACATCATGAGAGTATGTGCATGTGTGTGTGTCAAGGGAGAGACCAGCTCTCTTCCACAGCAATATTGAGTAGTAGGTATGCTTGCATGTACCTAATTTAGTTTTTATTTACATATACATAGTAGATACATGGTATATAAAAAAATAAGCACTATAGTGTATGAATAGGTATAGAGACACAATGTACTCTCCTACCGTATGCATAATAGTCTAGTATTCTGGGATGCCCCTGTGGTATGTGTATGTACAGCAATGTATAAAATGTAACACCGAGTGTGGCTTGTGGTCTGCATCTCAGCCAGGAGAACCAGCTGCAAACCAGACAGTCATATGGGAGTCCTCTTCAGGGACTGGAGCCTGATTCCGGCTCCAGCTTTGACACTCCTTGACTGTTATTTGGGGGCAACTCACTTCCTCTCTCTGGGCCTCAGTTTCTTTATTTATAAAACGAGGCAATTGGCCTTTCGTGATTCCTGAGTATCCTTCCAGCCCTGCGAATCTGTGCATCTATAAAGACAGTGCTGCACAGAGATGTGGATGGACCTAGAGACTGTCATACAGAGTGAAGTAAGTCAGACAGAGAAAAACAAATATCTTATATGAATGCATATATGTGGAATCTAGAAAAATGGTTCAAATGAACCTATTTGCAAGGCAGAAATAGAGACACAGACGTAGAGAACGAATGTATGGATACCAAGGGGGGAAGCGGGGGTGGGAAGAACCGGGAGATTGGGATTGACACATATACACTATCGATACTACGTATAAAATAGATAACTGATGAGGACCTGCTGTATAGCACAGGGAACTCTACTCAATTCTCTGTGGCGACCTAAATGGGAAGGAACTCTAAAAAAGTGGGGATATATGTATACGTATAGCTGATTCACTTTGCTATTTAGCAAGAAACTAACACAACATTGTAAAGCAACTATACTCAATAAAAATTTTAAAAAGAGACAGTGCTGCACAAAGAGGTGCTCAATAAATCTGTATTGATGAGAGGGGGGAGGGGAAGGAGAATAAGGGAGAACAGGGGGAGGCGGAGTGGGGAGGGAGGGAGGCAGGCAGAGAGAGCTGGTGAAGGGAAGAAAGGGAGGTGCAAACAGACCAAACTGTCCTGCAGATGGGACTCTGGCTCCCCGTTTTGAAGCACCAGGGCGAGTGCCATCGCTAAAAACAAGCTACTGAAGGCTCCGAATTTTCACACCCCCTGGAGCAAGGAGAGATGAGGTGGTGTGAAAATGGATTCCTTCATGCTCTCAGTTGAAGTTCCTTTGCAAGTAAAGACAATTAAGCCTCTTGGGAAGTTGGGAAAACATTAAAACCTGATCATTCTGATTTAAATTCATTATAATAAGAGATGCACAAAAATCCTCATTTTAACCAAGCAGTGTTGCAGACCGAAGAATTCTCTCCTATAGCTTGTTATATATCTTTAAAGATTTTTTTAAAAAATTTTTTAACATCTTTATTGGGGTACAATTGCTTTACAATGGTGTGTTAGTTTCTGCTTTATAACAGAGTGAATCAGTTATACATATACATATGTTCCCATATCTTTAGAAGGGGGTGGGAGAGAAGCATGGAGCTTTGATTTTTGCATCAGGTTTTTTCTTCAGGCATATGCTCCAGGTCCGCTGTCCGCCCTCTGCTCCTGCCATCCTCCTGCGGGGCTGTCTACAGCCCTGCCCTGCCGCACCCTCCCACCTTCAGGGCACAGCTGGGGAGCCTCCTTCTCTGACACCATCAGGGGACCACTGCCTACCACTTTGCTACACAGCCCCTTTCATAGAGCAAAGCTGTTTCCCACCCTCGGCTTCCTGGCCTCCTCACCTCAAACCTGGGGGTTTGTAGGGAAGCTATCATTGTCCCATTTTGCCATGAGGGTCACAGGGACTTAAAGAACGTGTGTAACACAGCTTCTGAGTCTGTGACAAGAGCCAGTGTCCCTAAACTGGCACCCCCCTGACTAGCCACATCCAGGGTACCTGGAAGGTCATGTCAGTAGATTCCAGACTGAAAAGTGTCCCCTCAATTTAAGTGGGAGATAGTTGGTGACCCCAGAGAGGGACCCAGTTCCTGTGGGTGCTGGGGCCAAACGCCAGCCCGCCGAGGGCTGACGGGTGAAGGGGAAGAGGGGCCATGGGGATGATGAGTGCGGTTGCTCTTCCAACACGCCTCACCTTGAAGGTGGAAAGAGGGGCAGGAGTTCAGGGGAGGGTGGGGGAGGGCGAGGGCACGTCCTCATCCTAAGTGGGGAGTGACTTGAGGCTTCGCATATGCTGAGGAGAAAAAGCCAGTGGAGCTGTTAGGCAGAATCTGATGCACAGAAATCCTGAGGAGGGGTCAGGGTCTAGGGATGTGGAGGGGAGGGAGACGGTAGTTACCACAGCACTGGCACACCACACAGAGCTTCATGTGTGTCCACAGATTTCATCCTCATGGCGACTCTGCAGGGTATGGACTGTCATCATCCCCATTGTATGGATGAGCAAACTGAGGCACAGAGAGGCTGAGTGACCTACCCAGGGTCCCTCAGCTAGTGGGTGTGGGAGCTGGGGCTGAGCCAGGCAGATTAGGTCCGAGCAGGGATGCTGCACTTGAGACAGGATGAGGGTGGGCGTACCCTGGGGCTGGCGGGAAGTGACGGAACAGCATCGCACATCATGCAGGCTGTGATGTCAGAGCAGGACCGCCTGCAGAGGACTGGGGGTTGGGGGGGAGGTGGTGAGGAGTGAGCTTGAAGGGGGCTGAAGCTCTGGGGTGGGTGGGGAGCTGGCAGGGACACCAGAAATGTTTCAAGGCCCCGCTGAGGTTGGAAGGTGGGAAACGGGGGGCTGCCCACTGCTGAGAGGGGGACACGGGAAGGAAGACAAGGGTGAGTGCGAGGAGGAGCCCAGGATGCGGGCAGAGGGGAATCTTATGAGATCCTATCTGGTGGTCCTGGGCTGAAGCAAAACGGGAGAGGAAAGATGGGGGCCAGGGAGAGGGGGGACGGGAGACCTCGGCCCCCAAACTTCGTTGCAGACACTCCCAGAGGCCAATAAACCTGCCCTCCGAATCTGTGCCTTACAAGTCTCCTGCCCCTGCCCCGGTGGGCACCCCTCCCTGGAATGGTGAGATTCCCTTTCACAGCCTCTCTGCCCTCTGAGACTGGACCCCATTTATAGAATCGGGTTTCTCCCCAGCTCTGACACCTTCAAATACAGGTGTTGTGGGTATCAGGGAGAAGCCAGGCCTGTGATCTTGGGCAGCCCCCAGCCCAGCTCATCTTCCAAGTCCCACCTTCCTGCCCTCCCCCTCATCGTGCTGCTCTGCAAATCTGAGACATGTTCACTTACACAAAGGCTGGGGCCACTTCTCCTACCCTCTGATCCTTTGGGGTACTCTCTGATCTGGCCCCACCTAACCATCCAGCCCCATTGCTAATTACCCCCAACACAGGCCTTCCACCTGAGGGTGCCCTTGGATGGGCATGTGCCCAGAGCACTGGGTTTAGAGTCCGAAGGCCTAGATTCCGATTCTGGTGGGAGAGAGAGCTCCGCCTCCAGGAAGTCTTCCCTGATTACAGGCCCTTGTTGCTGGCCTGGCCCCTCTTCTGATTCCTATAGCACTAACAGCCTTTGGTGCATGAGTTGGCACCCAGGTATACTGCGCAGGTTCTTCAGATGTCTCCCAGCCAGTGCAATGTATGTGCCTGACTCGCCTTTGTGTGTCATCCATTCACTCAGTTGCATCCATGCAATAAATGTTCACTGGGCTAAGCCCTCGGCAGACAGGAGTAAGCAGCACAGGCATAGTCCCTGCCATCAGAGAAGGCAGGGTCTCCTGGGGAAACAAAAGTAACTGGACACCCCCAATCAGTCTGGCCAGCGCTATGGTAATAGCAGCCCGGGAGTACTGCAGGAACACCCTACACAGTATGTGGGGAGCGGGGAGGGAAGACTTCTTGGAAATGGCATTTCAACTAGGACCTACTCTGGGAAAGAGGATGGAGCTAGCCCAGGGAGAGGAGGGAGGAGGCATGTTTCAGACAGAAGATCTGTCTGTGCAAAGTCCCAGAGGGTGAGGGCGGTCGGGCAAGGTGAGAACAAGACCAGGTGGAGGAACCACATGTCAGAGTGTGAGCCGGGAGCTGGGGAAGGGTCCAGAGCGATCAGTAGCAGCACAGCAGCCAGGTTAAGGCCTCGGGCACTGTGTCTGGCAGTCAGGACCTTCTCTTATGTGCAGTCTGTGGGGGGCCCCACTTCCGGTTGGATCTCCAGGGGACCAGGAGGCCGTGGCTTACCTGCCGTGTTCCTCTGTCCACAGCTACCGGACCCTGGCCACAGAGCACGAGGCATTGATGCAGAAGTACTTGCACCTGCTGCAGATCGTGGAGACTGAGAAGACGGTGGCCAAGCAGCTGCGGCAGCAGATCGAGGATGGGGAAATTGAGATTGAACGGCTGAAGGCAGAGGTGACCGACCACCTGGGGAGTGGAGGAGGCTGGCGGGGGGCCCGGGCCTCAGACCTCAAACCCGGGCTCCCTCAGGGTCAGGGAGGCACATGATGGGCAAGAGGGACCCGCTCCAGCCACGGCTGTGCCAGCTTCCAAACTTAAAATCAGTGATGCTGGCAGAGTGGGAAGGTCCTGGGGTCAGATCTGGGGTCGAAGCCCACCTCTGCCACTTACCAACTGCAACCCGGAGCAAGTCCTGCAGCCTCGCTGCACCTCCATCCTTAAAACAGGCTGTTTCTCCCCAGCTGACAAGGTTGTGAGGATCAAGTGAGATCATTTATAGGCGAGTTCCTGGTTACTCTGCTGACAGCCACATGGGCGGAGGAGGTGAGGGCAGGGCCAGAAGGTGGCTGGTAGGTCCTTAGATTGTGGCTCGGGCTCAGCTCCAAGGCAGTCCCTTCCCTCTGCCTGTCACGGCTGTCCGGAGGCTGAGCCGTTGCTAGGTTAAGCCTTCTAGAACTTCACTACTCAAAGTGTGGTCCATGAAACAGTGGCCCATTAGAAATTCAGAACCTAGGGCCCCACCCAGATCTCCCAAATCAGAATCTGCACTTTAACCACATCCCAGGAGATTCTCATCTATGGGTTGGCCAAAGAGTTCGTTCAGGTGTTTCCATAACATCTGCGGAAAATCCCGAACAAACTCTTTGGCCAACCCAATACATTAAAGCTTGGGAAGCGCTGGCTTTCTGCCCTTAGACACCCCTTACCAGCTGTGCACGCCACCACACAGTGATCTGATCGCCTCTCACCCCCTCACTTCACCAGTGTGCTCAGAACCATCTGGCTACCTCACACAAGGTCTGTGACTCTGAGCCGAGGAGGGGAATATGAAAACACAGATCCCTGCAATCGGAGTTAGCTGCATAATTTGCAGGGCCCGATGCAAGGTGAAAATGCAAAACCCCGGCCAGGGTAGGGGAAGTCAGGTCTCCCCTTCCCACTCGCCACAGCCTCTACCCATCGTGGGCAGGCCATCCACGACTTCAACCGCCAACTCCCCTAACCTCTGTGCCATGATGCACTCAGTACATAGATTCAGGTGGGCAAGGGACCCTTGCCAATTTGCCCACCTACTGCACCAGGCAGTATCAGCCCAGGCAGGACAGTTGTCTCCTCACCCTGCCCTGTGACACCACAGGCATGCACAAGACCCACCTTCTCTGTACCTACACCAGGTCCTGCAGAGGACGGAGGCGGACAGTGAGATGTGTCTGTTGGGCTGACTTGACCCGTTGCCACCCAGACAGAGGGTTGCAGAGGCCTGGGTCCCAGGGTGCCGGGGTATAAGGAATAGGCAGGGAGACAGGAACACGCATGAGCTGAGGCTCCAAGCCCCTGGGGTGTGCCCCATGGTCCCATCAGACTCACTTAACAAAACACAAATTCAAAGAGAAGATTCTTAAGAATTTCAAGACAGCAACTGCTGTCTATCACCTTTGCAAGAACCAATTGTTATGTTTTCAAGAATTTTGCAAGCTAGTTATTCAACCTTCGGTAGCTTCAAATGGGCTGAGGTAGGAATGCCCACACCACGGATACTGGCAGGTGCTACCAGCCAGAGGTTTTCTTTCAGAAAGCTGGTCATTAAGCATTTACCAATATACCATTGTCTACATCTTTTTTCCTAATATGCAGGACCTGGTGCAAAATAAAAATTCAGGGCCCTTAAGAATCTCAAAGCAGCAGCATCAGAGCTTTAAAGCAAGCGTTGGTCCCTTCTAAGCCTGGAGCTCTGCACGGGTCACACATCCAGGAATCCAGCCCTGTTTCTACTCCCAACCCTAGCCCTGGAAGTAACAGGGGATCGCATCCAAACAAAAGTCGGCAGAAAGCTTTACCAGGCTTAACTATCCACCTCTGTCTTAGTCTCTTTTCTCCCATCTAAACAGCCCTATTAGGCTTCATCTTTCATAACCCAAAGGCTCTAAGGACCATCTAAAACAAAGGGAATATCTACCTCTGAGAAGAATCACCCCCCCACACCTCTAGAATGCTCAGTTTGGACCATTTCATTGTTTTGTTTGTTGGTTGGTTGGGGGTTTTTTTGGCCGCTTTGTGCGGCTTGCAGGACCTTAGTTCCCTGGCCAGGGACGGAACCAGCGACCCCTGCAGTGGAAACGCGGAGTCCTAACCACTGGACCGCCAGGGAATTCCCCCATTTCATTGTTTTAATAGCTATTTTCCTCCCATTTATGATGGGAAGTAAATTCGGAGAGTGAAGACAGGCCCTAAATGGCAAAATAGGAGTTTAGAGGTAGTCGTAATATTTTATTGGCTTGGAAGCACTCAGGATCCTGGGAGGCTGACACTGGAAGAAACAGAAAAGATCTTTAGTTCAGGGTTTAAATAAAAATTTAGGGCTTCCCTGGTGGCGCAGGGGTTAAGAATCCACCTGCCGATGCAGGGGACACGGGTTCGAGCCCTGGTCTGGGAAGATCCCACATGTCGTGGAGCAGCTAAGCCTGTGTGCCACAACTACTGAACCTGCGCTCTAGAGCCCATGCTCCGCAATGAGAGAAGCCACCGCAATGAGAAGCCCGCGCACTGCAACAAAGAGTAGCCCCTACTAGCCACAACTAGAGAAAGCCTGCACGCAGCAACAAAGACCCAACACAGCCAAAAAGAAATTAAATAAATAAATATAAATAAATAAAAGAACTAAAAACATTGGAAAAAAAATTTAGCCATGGGATCGGTTTTGCAAATAAACTTCAACATGGTACCCCACTTCATAAACTAGGTCAATGAGGGGACTACTCTGGGAGAAGTAAGAAAGGACGGCCGTGACCCTTCCCATGCAGCCCCTCCCCAGGCCCCCTCTCCAGGGCCCGCCCTGCATGCCTTGAGTCCCGCTTCCCATCTCCCCCTTGCCATCCTCGCCCCCGCCACCCTGGCACACAACACCCTGTCATACCTGTGCCTTTGTTCACACACCCCCTCTCAAATCCCCTCCATCCTGTAGCCCACCTGTTGGGCTCTTTGTCCTTCAAAACTCCTTCCGGGTAGCCCTTGCCGCTTTCATGGTGAAACCTTCCCATTGTAGTAGGTACATACCTTGCTTCTGGCCTCTCCTTGTCCGATTATAAATTGCCTCTCTTGGGGTCTGACCCCCTTCTCAGGCTGGAAGCTCCTCCCTGGAAGGGATCTGACTCATCCACCTTACCCAGTGGCGAGCTGTGTCTCACCAGTACCCAACCCAAAGACTGCATCAGGATCCGCTGGCAGTGTTGGCACAAAGGTAGACAGTGTCTCACCAATACCCAACCCAAAGACTGCATCAGGATCTGGTGGCCGTGTTGGCACAAAGGCAGACAGAGATGGGCACCCACTGGGCTTGGAGGAGGCCAGAAGAGATCAAGAAGGAGGGAGAAAGAACTGAGCTGCATGACAAGAACTACAGAGACCTGCAGGAAAAGCAAGAGCTACAGAGATCGTTAGTAAAACCTTGGAGGCTAACAAAAAGGAAAGAACCTGGATTAATTCCACTATCAATGACTGCACTGACGAAATGCATTCCGGATGAAAGACACTGTCTCCAGAGAGGGGAGTAGGATGGGGCAGAAGCCCATGTGCTATGCCTCAAAGGGGTGTGGCAAGCAGGGTTTTCCTCTGATGGGTCAAGGAGGCCAGACCATGGGTGGCCAGTGGGCGGGGGCCAGCGGAGACACCAGGCTTTGAGCCAGGTCAGACAGCTGGAGCTGGACTCTAGCTGGCAAGTTGGGTGTGAGCCAAAGTCCCCACTCTGCATGGCCTTCATTGACAAGGGTCAGCTGAGCAGACCCTGAACGTCCAGCAAGCAAACCAGGGTCCAAGGCAAATCCATCTCCAGAAGAGACCTGCCAGGGTAAGAGAAAGGCTGCCTCCATGAGCTCACCTGACACTGGCTCCTGGCAGGGATGGGCTGTAGCCCAAGACTTGTGTAGGGTCCCCAGGCTCACAACCCTCTAGAGCTTTGCCCACCAAGCCTGATCCTTAAACAAAGACTCCAAGGCTGCTGGCACTGCCTGTGCATGTAGCATAGTACCTGACCTAATTGCATCTATTTTTTGCCCTGGTCCCTGCTGAGTAGATGTCCTGGAATGCCTCTCTCTGAGACAAGCGCCAGTTTTAAATACAGACCACACACACACACACACACACACACACACACACACACACACACACTGCCATCCAAACGAAAAAGAAGGTTTCCGTGTGCAAATCTCAAAACTGGCAAAGAAAGCAGACGGGCAAGGAGGTAACAACATCAGACCAAAGGTGGGCATTGACTGGGCATCCCTGCATCTCTGAGCTCTCCAGTAGCCTGCGCGCGCGCGCGTGTGTGTGTGTGTGTGTGTGTGTGTGTGTGCGTTCCTTAGGCCTTTAGAATACAGATCAAAGAATCAGCCTTTATTTTAATGTGCAGATGTTCCCAGAGAATGGAAAGAAAAGGTGCGGGGGGGAGAGAAAAAAGAAAAGCCCATGTCGGTGCTGAATATTTCTCAGATATTTTCAGCCGCTCTCCAAGCACAGGCCAGGGTAATTTTAGCAACCCACAAGTGGAGAGCGGGTAACTGTTCCATTTTGCTTTCAAAGTGCTCAATTCACTCAATTGTGAGCCCATTCATTCTGCAGTTCAGCAAGTGGCCTTGAGGGGACAAAGCCACGTGCTCTGAAGAGGATGAGGGGCTCTGGCTTTGTGGCAGTGTTTGTGGATTCCCCTGAGCTGCTATCTTTAGACATGTGGGGCTTGATGACTGCAGTGTTTTCCTGTGGTTGAGGTTTTTGTTGCTGCTGTTTTTCTGATCCTTCTGAAAAGAATTTTTTTTAATGAGACCTCTTTTATTATTATTTATTTATTTATTTATTTGCCAAGCTATGCAGCACGTGGGATCTTAGTTCCCTGACCAGGGATGGAACTCGTGCCCCCTGAAATGGAAGCGTGGAGTCCCAACCACTGGACTCCCAGCCAGGGAGGTCGCTGCTCTGATCCTTCTCTAACTTACTTACTTATGTAGCCAACAAATGTACGTTGAGTGCCAGCCGAATGCTAAGCACCGGGAGCCCAGGAATGAATGAAACGGGATGGTCCTTCGCCCACAGAGCTCACAGCCGCGATGGAATAAATAGGCATTGCCTGCATTTTCCCGGGAAAGTCCGCAGGCCGTGGGAGCCTTGGTGGAGGACCCCCAGCAGAGACTTGCGGACTCGGGGGTGGCAGGAAGGAACCCACCCAGGGGCTACACCACAGGCCCGTCCATCTGAGCAGTGCCAGAGGCTCCGGCCACAGTATGGCTAAAGGCACCCCTTCTCCTGGTCACCACCCCGTTGGTTTTGTTCTTGCAGCTGGGCCGACCTCTCTGATCCCGAAATCTGGCAAATGGAGATTCTTAGATCAGCTCAAATGTTCGTTTCAAGGGTCGTTCCATTTTTCTAGGCCAGCAGTTTCCAGGTTGTGCTCCAAAGAGGGCTCCAAGTCAGAGAAGTGCTTTAGGGTTGTCCCAGGATGGGACAGCCAAGCAAGCAGTGCTTTCGTCTGAAGTCCTACTGGGGCTCCACGACAGTTTTGTTTGAAAAAAATAATGGGACTACCCAAGTGCCCATTGATAGATGAATGGATGGCAACATGGGGTCTGTACATACAAGGATATCACTCAGCCTTAAAAAGGAAGGAAAGTATGACACATGCTGTGACATGGGTGAAACTTGAGGATGTTATGCTGGTGAAATAAGCCAGCCACAGAAAGACAAATACTGTCTGATTCCACTTAGGCGAGGTCCCTAGAGGAGTCAAATTCATAGAGACAGAAAGTAGAAGGGCGGGTGCCAGGGGCTCAGGGAGGAGGGATGGGGAGTTAGTGTGTTTTGTTTTGTTTTGGCTGCACTGTGTGGCGTGCGGGATCTTAGTTCCCTGACCAGGGATCAGACCCACACCCCCTGCAGTGGAAACGCAGAGCCTTAACCACTGGACCTCCAGGGAAGTCATTAAACTCATTATTAAACTCATAAACTCATTATTGTTTAATGAGTACAGAGCTCGGGAAGTTGAGAAGGTTCCGGAGATGGATGGTGGTGATGGTTGCACAACAATGTGAATGTACTTGATGCCACTGCACTGTGCACTTAAAATTGGTTAAAATGGTAAATTTTATGTTATATATATTTTACCACAATAAAAATTCGAAAGTAAAGGGACTGATGGTTTAGGGAATAAGGAAGAGAATCACAGGTTTGGACCAAATCTCTCAGATTACAGATGGGTTGCCCGCAGCCCAGAGAGTGCCTCGCCCAGGGTCACTCGGAGTCAGAGCCTAGCTGCCCTGGACCCAGGTGGACAGGGTCCCGGCCCGGTACTCACTCACCGACGTCTGGCTCGAAACCTCCCACAGAGCAAAGGACACGAGCTGCAGTACCACTGGTCCTTGGGGAGCATGTGGCAGGGCGCTCACTCACCACACCACGCCGGGTGGCAGCCGGAGGGGTGGGGCTTCCGCCAGCTGGTGCCGCTCACGCCCCGCAGCTGACCTGTGTTTCCGTTGCAGATCACATCCCTGCTCAAGGACAATGAGCGCATCCAGTCCACCCAGACTGTCACCCCCAACGACGAAGACAGTGACATCAAGAAAATCAAGAAGGTCTGTACCATCTCTCGGGGCTGGCAAAGCTGCCCTGGTCCTCTTTAGAGAGCCCCCTGGCGCAGCCCAGGGTCTGCAGTGTCCACCTACTGTCCCACTGCTGCTGGGCGTGCCACTCCCACCTCTGCTCCAAAGGCAGAATCAACAGCCCCTCACCCCTGACCAGCACCTCGTCGAGCCATGTTTTCTGGTTGTCTCTGTGAGGTAGGGTGGTTCAGCCCATTTGACAGATAGGAGAACTGAGGCTCCAAGAGATGAAAGAGTGGATAGAGCCAGGGCAGGAACCCAGGCTGTGAGACTCACAGCCGAGAGCTTTCCTCACAACCCTGGGCAGCCTCAATGAGACCCCAGGCCACACGTCCACTGTCACAGCCCTGCATGCCCGCCCTCCCCCCCAGCTACTGTCCTGCAAACACCTCCTCCTTTCATCCCCGGCAGAGGTCAGCATGGGATCCGGCCTCTGTGACACCCCTTAGCTGGCCCCACTGGTTTTACACTATTAGAGGCTAGGAGAGACATCTCAGAAGGTATCAGAAAGCTGCCTGGTGGCAGAGATACTGACCAGCACCGTGGGTCACCCCATGGAGGGGCGTATGGAGGGGAAGAGTATGGTCTGTTGCCAGACTTGAAGCAGGGGAGCCTGACTCACCGTAAGAAAAACACACGAAACCAAAAAATCCTCCTTGTTGAGAGCGTAAAAGGACACCAGCGCCATCCAGACCAGAAAACTGCAAACTGGCATCCCACAGGCCAAGTTCAGCCTACCAGCATGTTTGGGGTTCTTAGCCCACACGGTGTTTCTTTTTTCCCTTTTTAATCTGTTGCCAGTGCTTTAAAAGCTAAACATTTCACATAAAAATATGTATTTCTGGTTTCTCAAAAATAGGAAGAGCTAACATTCATTACGCACTTTCCATGTGCCAGACACTATTCTAGGAGATTTATGCAGATTAATCTGTTCCTAACTAAAAGCCCTCTGAGGTTTTATTATTATCTGCGTTTCACATGTGGGGTTGCTGAGGCACAGAAAGGCAAAGTGACTTCCCCAGGTCACACAGCTAAGTATTTGCAGAGTGACATTTAAACCTTGGCCACCAAGCTCCAGAGCCCACATCCTTGGTCACTGGGACACACGATCTCTTGGAAAAGCAGAAGGTCTCGCAGGCCCGGGCCCACCTCCTGCACACGGTGACTGCTGGCCCCAGGCCAGGTGCTGTCCCATTAGTGCCCACCCAGCCGGCTTCAGGATCTATAGGACCTGCCAGGCCCCCATGGACATTGGGATTTGCCACCAGTGCCACCTGGGGTCTGAACCAAGCCCCACCCAGGCAGGGATGCGCTGGGCTTCCTTCTCTGCCATGGCCCCACTGGGCTTCCCGGCCCGTTTTGCAAAGCCATTCTGGTTGGAACATTTTTTTAAGTACCACCTGAAATGCACCTCCCTACTTTTGTTTTCACCCTCCTGGGGCCTCAGAGCAAGGCCCTCCTTTATCCAGAAAAGCTTTCTCTCTTCAAGGAGATCTGTCGGGCTGAGGCCAGGCCTCTTCTCCCCAGGGCAAACGTCCCTGGCCAAAGGTCTGCACCCGGATGGTTGCACCTGCTGTGCATGGCCAGTGCCCTTTGCAGCTGATAATATTTTGATGAGTGCCTTGGCAGGTGGCCCCTGGATCTCCAGGTGCCCCCACCCCAGCACCGCCCAGCACCCTTGCTCCTGGGGCCCTGGGGCCCTCCCTGTGCAGCC